ATGAATCGTAATGTAAATATCTGATATGCAGGATGGTCTTAGGCGACCCCTGTGAAAGGGTCATTCGACTGCCAAAGGGGTCACGACCCACAGGTTGAGAACTGCTGCTCTAGATCATCTGAGGGGTAGGTTTGGAGTTGAGCTGGGCCCTCCACTCCTCATACCCCCTGGGAGTTGCTTTGACTGTCTAAGACTGGCTGGGCCAGGGAGGAAGGTCCAAGTGACCACGAGAGTAAACCAATGGGAAGCTGGCCTGTGGCAGCCCAAGAAGGGGCTTGCTTATGTATGTATGTATGTATGTATGTATGTATGTGTGTATGTATGTATGTATTTATTTATTTATTTTACATTGGTTCAAATTCCTAGGACCCCAAGTTCTTCATATCATTCAGGCAGCAAAGCTTCCCATATCACACATCATCATCATCATCATCATCATCATTAAGCTATAATTGCTTCTTTACTGATCTCTTATGTGCTAACGAGACTTATATATGAATTTCATTTCATTCTGTAACACCTCATGCAAGAAGAAATTGATGATTAGAGAATTGTGCAACTTTCCCAGTCAACTAGTGAATGGAAGGGCCAGACTTTGGACCTAGGTCCTTCTGATTCCATAACCTCTACCCGAAACTGCCTTTTGAAGCTCCCAGTCTCCTGGGGCGACTGAATGTAAGGAAGAGAATAGGTTTCATTTCTACTCCGCAGTGAACATGTTTCTTTCGTATATCTGCTTTAGGTCATCCTCCTGTGTTAAGGTGTCTTGGGCTGTCATAACAATTATATCTTTCAGTAATTTCTTTTGGAAAATACTCTTTCCTTTCTGTTTGTGGGTGTGGCTGGCTACAAGTATTCTAAATATGTGACAGGTTATCTATAATTTCAGTGAGACTGTAAAACTATTTCCTCATGGCCTCATGCATGAGCACTATCATATTATTATCTCTTCCTGGCATAGAAGAGAAGAAATAGCTACTGAGCACTATTCTAGGAGTTTCATGCATTCTGTACTATTAAATTTGAACTTTGTGACAATTCAGGGAGATATGTGCTAGTGTCAAATTTCATAGATGAAGAACAGAAACTCAAAGAAATGATTAACTTTGCCAGGTGACAAAGTTCGTAAGTGGTGGAGCTAGGATTTGTGAGTCCAGATCTGGCTGATTCTGTGCTATTTCCTCTATGTCATGCAACTTTTTCTTTATTCTTTCTGACTTTGAATGCCAAGTGTGTCTCAAGAAAAATTCAACCCTTTTAGTGTCATTAGGATACATTTCCCCTATAGATGGATTTTGGGATATTATATGTGTTTCCCAGATGTGTGAGTTTGGATATTTTAATATATGTGCTAATATAGAGTGTGTCGTGTATCTTAATTGCTAGCTGAAATAAGCAAAAATAATTGCTACTATAGAAAGTAGGTATTAAAAGTATGAATTATTCTTTGAAGAATAAATAGCTGTTTATGTGAAATTTCATACGTATTCAGCATTTATGTATTGTTGATGGGCCTATTTGAGAACCTCCCTGCAGGTCTATGTTGGCATCATGAGCCTACGAGGCTGGTTTCAGAAGAGAGTGAGTCATCCAGCGACTAAAGGGTGTGTCCTGGCAACACATCTGAGAGGTGCAGACTTGAGTCATCGACCTGCCTGCCAGTGTTGTGAAGCTGACCAAGTGGATGTAATTCCCATTGTATAAAGGAGGAAACAATGTCAGGGAGCTGAAGACATACACACTAAATCAACAGTAGGGTCTGAACTTTCATACAGTGCTCCTTCCTTTACTCTTGCTAAACACTTCCTCATTCTTTTAGAATGATTGTTCCTTTTTAGGGATGCCTGTCATAACTCATAACAGACTAGGCAGATGGTTTGAGGAATGAAGAAAAGCTATTTATATATAGACGAAATTGTGTATCCCAATAAATAAGAAACCCTTTCCTGTAATAACAGTGAATGTGTGAAACCATTGAGCAGGCTAGCCGGAAGCTGGAGCAGACCTCCAAGGAGAAGGTACCTCGGGGCAGAATAATACTGGAGGACTCCTAAGGATTCCTGCCCTGCCTTGGGACAAAAGGCTATTTTTCAGGAATTCTCTCAAGTCTTTCAGAGTTTAATTGCTTTAGACATGGCATGTCAGGAATCCTGGGCAGTGCCAAGTGTAAAAGACTCCAACATTTTGGGCTACATTTTACCTTGCTGAAGTCCTTCACATATTCAATGAGCTTTTGCTGATGATTTGTTTAAGGCAGTGGTAGTAATAGCAGTTGTAAAATAAGAGCAAATATTTATTGAACAGTTACTATGTCCCAAGCATGGTTGTAAACACATTGCCTCTAAGATTGTAATTAATTCTGTAAGCTTTATATGTAAGAACACTTATAGTACCCACTTGACAAATGAGAAAATGGGGGCACAGAGATTAAAAGACCACCTAGCCAATGAGTACTGGAGCCAACATTGACCCTAGGTCAGCGGTTCTCAACCTGTGGGTCACGACCCCTTTGGGGGTCGAGTGACCCTTTCACAGGGGTTGCCTAAGACCATCGGAAAACATATATATGATTACATATTGTTTTTGTGATTAATCACTATGCTTTAATTATGTTCAATTTGTAACAATGAAAATACATCCTGCATATCAGATATTTACATTATGATTCATAACAGAGCAAAATTACAGTTATGAAGTAGCAACGAAAATAATTTTATGGTTGGGGGTCACCACAACTTGAGGAACTGTATTAAAGGGTCGCGGCATTAGGCAGGTTGAGAACCACTGCCCTCGGGTGTCTGTCTCCAGAGCACCTTACTGTCCCATAACAGCACCAAAAACATCTGGGCACGGATGGGCAGACTGGACACCCTCAAGGAAATCGAGCTTGTCTTTTCAGCACCTCTGAGAATGTCATCGTAAATTACCATGAACTAAATAAACACTGGTGCTTAATGGTTACTTCTTCCCAGAGCACATCTCTCTGTGTGTCTATCACCTTAAATTATTCAGTAGTAATAATTTATGCTACACCTGACTACAGGCTTTCTCTTCCTTGTCCAGCCCCTCCATAATCAATAAATCAGCAAGAGTATATTTACTTTTGCAATTCTTTCCCAGCACATGCAGTAAGTCATCAGATTCTGTTAATTCTTCCTCTTTCATTTCTCTTGCATCAGCTTCTAGTTCTCCATGACTGTTTTCCTCAACCCAGCGAGGCCCTCATTTCCAGAGCTACCTTACACTGGCACGGTTCCCCCAGTTTCCATAAGTTCCAGTTCATTGTCAGATCGTTGTCCCGGTTGTTTTGTTCAAGGAAGCCTGAGGAATACTGTATTATCCCAAGCTGGGACCGGGCCACCTTCACCAGCAGGTGTCCTTCTCCTTTGCTTCTCTCTACGCCCCCCTTTCCTCGCAGTCCTTGTTGACAGAGCAATGATCTTGGAAAATGTTTTCTGCATGTCAGTGCCACCACTTCAAAATCCACACTTCCCTTACTTGTATAATTCAGGGTTGACATTACACCACAGAATCCTAAAGCTGGACCACACCTTAGAGTTCGTCTGCTACACTATTTCTCACAATACAGACAGTCTACCTCTGATTTGAAAGGGAATTCACTGTATTTTGATGTGATGTATTGACTTCCATGCCAACTGTGTCACTTGTTTCTTGACTGAGGGTGTGATTGACTAAAATCACCTGAAAAACTTGCTCTCAATGCATAGTTTCTGCATCTCACGCCTTGGCA